AAAAAAAAAAAAAAAAAGCCAGTGGGGGCTGCTCTCCACCTGTGACCCTGACAGCCCTCAGAGACATACTTGGGACTTGAGACTTCTGCAAAATATCCCCACAGGATGTCAGGGTCCCCTGCCCTGGGTGGCCACCCTTCCTGACCCAGAGACAGCTGTAGTCCTCTGTCCCCACAAGGCGGATCCCTGGTGACCCACAGAACTAGGGAGGCCTCAGGACACCTGGCTGCCAGCCCACCAGGCCCCACCTCACATGTGGCCACAGCACCAAGTCCTGCTCCCCGGCTCTGAGCCAGCCTGGGCAGACACTTACCCATCGCCTCAGCCAGTATCTGTTTGGGGCCCGCCCTGGTTGGCTGCCCCAGCCACTGGTGGATCCAGCCTCCCTGAGCCCCAGAGCCTCAGGAAGCCACCCCACTGTCCCCAGCAGCTCCAGCTGCTCCCCACCACCTTCACTCACAGAGGTGGGGTCAGGAGGTGTCTGCAGCTCCCGACCTGGCACCTGCTGGGACCCTCTTCCCAGGCTGGATACGCTAGCCCCTCTCATTGGGCGGGTGGCTGGCTGCTTGAGCACTCTGCCCAGGGTTCCCTGCCCACTGCAATGGCCTGCTTGCAGTGGGGATGTGGCATTCCACTCTTGAGTCCCTGGCTCCTGTCTCTGCAGTCCAGTGTCTATACTGAGAAACAAAGCTGCCCCAGCGAGGGGCAAGAGAACAACTGGACGCCAGGGTGTCTTGAAATACCACCGCCCAGGCCACTGCCGAAAGCTGAGCCCAGCAGGCACTGCAGGCACTGCACATGGTTCTGGATAAAACTGAACCTCGTCCTGTCCCTGAGGTGGCCGGCTAGAATGCTGCTTCAGGGAGGGGGCGCAGCCCCTCCTGGCATGGAAGGGGCCTATTCTGAGGTCCCAGCTTAGGGGCTCGGCATCCAGCCAGCAGCCTCATGGCACCAGGGGACCCCCAGGCAGCTTCCCGCAGCATGGCTCCCGCTGAGGGCAGAGGGCCCACACCCCAGTCCCCGTAGAATGAAATGCTCCTCAGACTCATGGGTCCCAGCGATTCGCCTGACTTGCCCAGGACACCTCCTCCTCCCCCTGCCACCTGGCTGGACCAACTCCTGGACATCAGTGGCCAACACCTCCAGCAGGAAGTCCCCCAGGCTCTCCAGATCCCAGCACTGACCACACCAGGTCAAGGTGGCAAGATGACCAGGGAGGTGGCTCTAAGACACCAATTAGGAACCCCCAGAGGCCACACAGCATGAGTCAGGCTACCTAACCCCCGATCCTCAGTGTCCCTATCTGTCAAACAACAGGAAGCAAGGATGCCGCCAGGAGAGGACTGTGCTCAAAGGGACGCCTGCTGTGCAGAAGTGTTCCGGAGGGGCCTCGTGCTCCTGCACCATCGCCTTGGCCTGCCTGGGGGCTCCCAGGAGGCAGGGATTGTACTGCGTCTGTCCCTGCGTGCTGCCACTGTGGTCCCAGCACCCGGCCAGTAACCTCCCCAGGTTGGCCACCCCTCTTCTTCCTCCACCTCCTCCTCTTCAGAGGAAAGCTCTGGCCTGGCCGTCCACCAGGACCCACAGGCTCCTGGCCAGCCCTGCTCGCCAGGGCACACCTGGCCCTCTTTCCCAGGCAGCCAGCCCTCCCGGGACCCCACCCAGCCCGGGAGCCGCATGCCAGGTCACGAGGGAAGCCTGGAAGATTTCTTGGAATACAGGATCCAACCAGCCCACAAGGTCATAGGGTGACAACCAAGGCCTCAACAGTGCTCCTGCTCCCAGCCCTTGGGTCACACCCTGGGTTCAGCAGCCGCCTGGGGCTAGGGTGACACGGGGCTCTCATGGGCCTGCACTGAGGTTCTCCAAACGCAGAGCCCCTCTGGGCCCTGGGATATGACGTTGTATTTTGATCCTTGAAACCAAACTGTCATGTACCCTCAGGGACGGCTCAGAGGCAGGGACTGCCCAGGGGACCCAGTGGGCACAGTGCCTCTGACTGAAGCCGCCACTCTGGGTGGCCACTCTGGTACCAGACAGGGCCACTCCCGCTGCTGTCATTGCCGACTGGACTCAGGGCCCGGTGGCCGTTTTTAGACACTGGTCTTCCTGGCTGTAGGACGGGGAGCCGGAATGCCACACACAGTTTCCACCTCCCCCCACTCCCCGCACTCATCCCATGGCGCTGGGTTCCCCAGGGCGCAGCCGCGGGCCCACCTTGACAGCGTACTCCTGGCTGGTGATCAGGTTGATGCAGGTCTGCACTCGGGCATGAGCGCCCTCCCCCAGCACATCCTCCTGCAGCTGGTAGACGTCTGCCGGGCAGCGAGGCGGGCGTGAGAGGGACCCCGGCTGTCCCCCGCTCCCGGCTCCCCCAATGCCCGCCATCCCTGCTCACCTTCGAACCTGCCCGAGAAGCTGTCGGTGGCCCGGCCACGCTTCTTCTTCTTGCCCCTCTTTTTGGCGTCCGGGATGTCGATGGGCTGGCTGGCGGGCATGTCTGTTCCAGGAGGCACGCCCAGGGGGCTCAGGACATGGCCCTGGCCGGCTGGTCCCCACCCCCCTGCAGGGGCTGGCCACTGCCATGGCGGCGACAGCGGCTGCCCCGTGCCCTCCTCCCCCTCAGGCCCCTCACCAGGGCGGGCTGAGCACTGCAGGCCAAAGTCAGAGTCTCCGTGGTGGGGCTGGTCTAGAGAGAAGGCCAGCTCGAAGGGGTTCTGCCCCTGCAGGGGAGAGGAGAAGAGAGGCACTCAGACCCCATCCCTCCCCACGCAGCAGGGAGACCTCTCCTGCCACAACGCCCAGGCTGACAAGCCCTGTGCTGAGCATGACGAAAAAATCAACTCGGTCCCCGCTCACACGACACCAGGATCAGCTCCCGATGGGGCGGGCAGCATAAACCGGGGGACCCCCAGCTCCTGGCATTCACCTCCTCGCTGCCCCACACTCAGTGTGTATGTGGATTTCTTTTTTTTTAATTTATGTTTTGTAGAGATAAAGTCTTGCTATGTTGCCCAGGCTGGTCTTAAACCCCTGGGCTCAAGCGATCCTCCTGCCTCCGTCTCCCAGAGTGCTGGGGTCACAGGCGTGGGCCACACGTGGAAGGTGTTCGGCCTCCTAGCACCTCAGCAAGGAGAGATCAGGAGATGCAGAGTCTCCTGGGGGGGTCCATGGAATTTGCCAACCCAGGGGGTGATTCTGTCCCCCAGGAGACACTGGGCCATGTCTGGGGACATCTGTGGTTGTGGCTGGTTGGGGGAGCTCCTGGCATACAGTGGGTGGAGGCCAGGGACACTGCTCAGCACCCTGCAGTGCCCAGGACGGCGCCACGCCAGATAAAGATGGGCCCCAACCTCCACGGGGCCGCGGGGACATGGGCCACAGGGACATGGGGCCGTGGGGAAGACCTCCTCCCACCCACAGAGCCCTGGGGGCCTCTGGGAAAGGGGTGCATTGCGGGGAGAGGACAGACACGAGCAGATGGCTCTTGGGAACCCTGCCTCTGATGCCAGGGTTGAGTCACCGTGGGGCCCAAGCCGTGTCTTGCACCTCCGTCTGCTTGTCCGCAGAATGGGGATGGCTGACCTCTGGGGCGGGTCATGCGGATCAAAGGCAGCGGGGCAGAGGGAGGGAGGTGAGTCACCGGGCGGGCTGCCAGCCTGGTGGCTGTGCCTGCTTTCCCACGGCCTCCTGGACCATCTCAGGGAAGCTCAGTCCTCCCTGGGCCTCTGTTTCCCCCATGTAAAATGGCACACCACCACTTCTCCTTCCCCTAAGCTGCTGCCCTCTCTTTTGCTCAGTGCCTGGGGCTGGCGGGGTGAGAATTCAGTGCCTGGTGCTCTGGGGCCTGCTGAAGGTGGGGGCTCTGCCTCCATCACCCCTGCCTTCTGCCCCACCCAAGCCTGGGCACCTGCCCTCCTCCGCCCGTGTCCCGTGGCTGCCCGGCACACCTTCCCTCCGCAGCTCTGTGCGTCTAAGCCCACCCTCCCCCACCAGAGGCTCATCTGCTTCCAGCCCCCCTAACCCGGCAGCTACCAGTCACTGAGTCAGTACACACGGTGCTGTACCGGTCTTGGGGGCTCACGGGAGAGGCACCCACTGGCGCGAGTGTGCCAGGCCCTGCCCAGACCACATCCTGCACTCCCATCTCAGTGCCAGACACTCCTGGAGGGAGCCCCTGGTGGGCCCTGGTACCCAACTAAGGAACCCACCTTGGGCCCTGGCGGCCAGGATTCAAATCCAGGCCTGCTGCTCTGGGCAGGCTGGGGCTGGGTCAAGAAACAACCCAGCCCCAGGAATGTGGGAGCAAGACCCTGACCGGGGGCAGGAACAGTGCAGGTTACGTAGACTTTGCCCCCGTGGAAGATGTTGGAACATATGCACGTTTCCACAGAGCGCGGCCCAGCATGGGGACTTCTGGCCCTTTACAAGGGGCCAGGCCTTTGAAGCTGGGGAACTGAGGCCCGGTCAGATTTCTTGTACTACTGAGCTCTCACTCAGCCTCACCTGTCCAGGTGAACCAGGCGGGAGGGGCCTGCACAGGTGGCGGGGGTCCCAGTCCCAGTGAGGATGCTGGGTGCTCTGGGCCAGGTCACTGCCCCTGTCTGGGCCCCAGACAGCCTGAGTGGGGCTCAGCAGAAGTAAGACTCCAGTGGAGCCCATGGGAGACCCGAGGCCAGCAGATGGGTGGAGGCCAGAGGGCAGAGTTTGGGAGGGGCCGAGGGCCAAGCTGCCCTCCTGCCTCCCCACCCACCCTGGCTTGGGCAGATAGCTGCCAGGAGGCTGCTGGGGGAGGAGGGAAGGAAGGGGGGCTCCAACTAGCCCCCATGGGGAGTCAGCACTCCCATAAGGTTCCTGTCTGGAGGCCCCTGGTGGCCCCGGGGCAGCCACCACAAGGCCGGTGACCAGGGTCTGAGGCCAGACTGGCGCTCACCTGCTGTCTGACCTTGGCCTAGTGACCTCGCCCCGAGGTCTGTCACGGGTGAGACAGGAGGCAGCTGCCCCCAACTTGTGGGAGCTCACAAGAGTGAAAGGACCTGAGGGGCCACAGGGCCCAGCGTGAGCCCCTGGCCTTCTCTAGCCACCGTTCCCCCGTGCCAGCCACAGCCTGCAACTCAGCAAAGCTACAGATGGACAGCCGGAGCCACCATGGCGGAAGGGCACCATGAGACTCCACCATGAGATTCCACGGCCTCCTCGCCCATGTACATGGGAACCCCAGGCACACACGCCTGCCGTCTCGGAGCCTCACTTTCCCGTCTGCAAACGGAAAGAAACCCAAGGCGCCTGTAGACGTGCCTTCCTGCTGGGCTGCTGCCTACTGGAGGCAGGGAGGGTATTTCAGGAGACGTGGCCCCAGTCCAGGGAGCAGCCGTGAGTGGTGGGGGCTGTGGGGGCAGATTCCTAGAGCAACCGGTCTCGGCCACCTAGAGAAACACCTCACAGCCAGGACTGCCTGCCAGGCCCTCCTCCACCGAGATGCCCACCTTCCCAGCTCCCAACCGGGCTGCCCTGGTCATGCAGAGGCCGGCCCACAGTCCCGGGCAGTGTGGGCGGTCCTGGCCCCACTGTTCTAGGTCTGGCTGCGGGACTGGAGTCAGCAGGCCTTGGCAGGAGGCGGCTGGAACCATCTAGAAAGTTCAAGTGTGCTTTGGCTGCCTGGCTGGCCCCATGCACTGACCCTGTATCAGCTCACGCCTGACCCCAGGAGGGAAAAGACCACTGCACTGTCAGGTCCTCCTCTTTCCCGCCCAGCCCGACACTCTGATGGTGCCAGGCCTGCTGCCCTAGGGGAAAACTGGGCATGGGTGGCAGGGGTGAGTGGTGCCCTGCGGTGCTGGCTGGACAGACCTGGGAATTCTTCTCAGAGTTTCCCCTTGCTCCTCCCACCCTGGAGCAGCGCGTGTGTACACACAAGACACAGACACACACACACACACACACTCTCTCTCTCTCCCCCCTTCTCCAGTCCTGCCTTCCCTACCGGGCAACAGGTCCCTGCCCAAGGAAGCCCAGTGAAGCGATTACATAACCCCGGCCTGCGGGGTGGGGCGGGCTGGCTGACATCACTGCGTCCCCTGGGCCAGGTCCTGCGGGGCCCCTGCCCAGCACCTGCCCTCCCCTTCCCCCCCAGATTTGCTCATCTGAAACCAGCACTCAACAGCAGTCACCGCCCGGGCGGCGCAGAAACTTCCCGCTCCGACAGGAAACAGCGCTTGGGCCTGGGGTGTCTGCAAAGTGCAGGGCTGAGGGGACATCCCATCCCCTCCCCCACGGCACAGGACCCCTGGGGGTGGGTGCACCTGACCAGCCCGGCCTGGGGATTCTGAAAGGAAGTCCCCAGAAGCCACACGGAGGTGGGAATGGGACTGTGGCCCGCTGACCTCTCCCCACCAGGGCACAACCAGCTGGAGCTTGTAGGGTACACCCCCCATAAGCAACATGCAGCGACCGGGACAGGACTGCAGCCTGCTGACCCCCCAGAACATAGCCGGCAGGGGCTTGCAGGGGACACATGGCCTGGCCCCCTGACGGGGAGGGGGCTCCTGCTCCCAGCCTCACTTGGGGATCCTGGAGGAAGGACCCGGTGGCCAAGGCTGGGGAGCGGACTGCGGCCTGCTGACCCCCCATCCTCGCATACCGACCCCGCTTCAGCGCATGGCCGGACCAGGCAGCCCCGGGTGTAGGGCGGGGGCCAAGCACGA